AGTTCTGTTTTGAAAAAATCGAAAAATTTTGAAGGTTTCGTAAGGCATTTTGGCACCCGGATTCTTGTTCCGGGGTTTCGAATTAGTAGAGAGACGAAATTTCCGGAATTTGTGTGCCGAAATAAACGAATCAGAATGATATAACCGAATTCGAAAAAATTTTTGATATAAGAAAAATTTGTCAAAAAAATGAAAGTCTGTAGATCGGTTTGAAAATCGAGTCCTTAGCAAGCTTCATACCGCTAAATTTATTTCGAGAATCAGTTAGAAGATATTTTTCCGATTTCCACCTGAAAAGCGGGTTTTCCGATTACGAAACAACATTCAACAAATTTCCGGAACGGTAGGTCATAGAGCTTCAAGCTTAATGCCATTCTATTCTTTGGACTTTTTTGGTCGCGTTAGTTGATTTTTAGACCGAAAGTGGCATCCATTTTCATTTCAGGAAACCATAAACCGAACGATGCCATTTTACGGTAAGCTATGTTTTGAAAAAAATCGAAAAAAAATGTTGAAAGCGTCGTAAGGCATTTTGGAGCCCGGATTTTTGTTCCGGAGTTTCGAATTAGTAAAGAGATGAAATTTCCGGAGGTTGCGTGCCGGAATAAATGAATTAGAATGAAATAAACGAATTCAGAAAAATTTCCGATTTCATGTAAGAAAAATCTCGAATAAATGAAACAGAAAATAACTGCGCTTTATTATTTTCGAAGGTGGCCGAAAAACGGTTGAAAATTTCGGACATTTGAAAAAGTCGTGCTTATTTATGGTCCCAGAGCAAAATTTTCCAAATATTTTCAAAAATCGTGAAAACTGGAAAAATTGCAAAATCGATTAACTTTCAGATTTTCACTTTTTCCTATTTTTATTTTTTCGACTTTTCACTTATTCCATTTTTCAAGTTTTCAGTAGGTAGGTAGGTGCTTCGATTTTACGATGTTTCAATTATTCCATTTTTTCTTTTTTAATTCTTCTTTTAGTTTTTGACTTTTCGATTTCTGGATTTTTCAGTATTTCAATATGAATTATCCAAAATTTCAGATTCTAGAGTTTTCAAATTCTCGTTCAAAAATTCAAACATAGACGAATCGAAGAAACAAAATATCGAAAAATGGAACGAAATTTGTAAACCTAAAAGTAGAGTTATTGCGAAATTGAAAAATTCGGGAAACAAAAAACTGAAAAATTGAAAAATCCGAAAATCAAAAGAGGAAAAACCTGAACACTGAAAAATTAAAAGTTTTGAAATTTTAAATGTTCAGTTCTTCCTGTTTAAATTTTTTTGATTTTTCGATTATTCCATTTTTCAGTTTTTATTTGTTCGATTTTTGTGTTTTTGAGTTTTTCATTTGTCAATATTTCAATTTTTAAGTTTATGTGGTTTCTCGATTTTTTTGACATTTTAATTTTTAGAATTTCCAACTTTTCGATTTTTCAATTAGTCGATTTTTCAATTTAGATCTTTAAGTTCTTCGAATTTTTAATTAATACATTTAGTTTTCTTTGTATAACACGATCACTTAAGGACATGTTTCACATGGTAAGAAAAATAAGGATTTTACAATTAAGCTCCGCCCCTCGGCTTACGACGAATAAAAAAAATCATCAGAATAAAAATAGGGCGGGTGGGCGGGGCTTATATTTTGCCTTTTTTTCTTAATATATGTACATAGTCGTTGTCAAATCGACTTGAAAATTGAATTCCTGGCTAGCTTCATCCCCTGAATCCATATCGAGAATTAGTTGCAAGATATTTCTCCCATTTTCAACTGGAAAAGCGGCTTTTCCGATTACGAGACAATTTTCAACAAGTTTCCGGTCTCATAACTCCGGAACCTTAACGCACTCTATTTTTTGGACTTTGTTGGCCACGCAGTTGATTTTTAGAACGAAAACGCCTTTCTTTTTGGTTTCCGGGGACCATAAATCGAACGATGTCATTTTCCGGTACGCTGTGCTTTGCAAAAAAAATCGAAAAAAAAAAATTGCACGCTTCGGAAGACATTTTGGGGCCCGGATTCTTGTTCCGGAGTTTCGAATTAGTAACGAGACCAAATCTCCAGAGGTTGCGTGCCGGAATAAACGAATTAGAATGACATAACCGAATTTAGAAATATTTGGCAAAAAACTGAAGGTTTTCCAATCGACTTGAAAATCGAAGTCCTAGCTAACTTGCCACCGCTGAATCTATTTCGAGAATTAGTTGCAAGATATTTCTCCGATTTCCACCTGAAAAGCAGCTTTTCCGATTACGAAACCATTTTCAACAACTTTCCGGGGTTATAACTCCGGAACAGTAGGTCATAGAGCTTCAAGCTTAACGCCACTCTATTCTTTGGACTTTTGGCCGCGCCAGTTGATTTTTAGATCGAAAACGGCTTTGTTTTTGCTTTCCGGGACCATAAATCGAATGATGTTATTTTCCGGTACGCTGTGCTTTGAAAAAAAATCGAAAAAAAAATTGAAGGCTTCGGAAGACATTTTGGGGCCCGGATTCTTGTTCCGGAGTTGCGAATTAGTAAAAATACCAAACTTCCGGGGGTTACATGATATAACTGAATTCCGAAAAATTTTTGACGTCATGTGTTAAAAATTTGTCAAAAAAATTAAAGTCTTTAAATCGGCTTGAAAATCGAGTTCTTAGGGAATTTGACACCGCTGAATCTATTTCGAGAATTAGTTGTAAAATATTTCTCCGATTTCCACCTAAAAAGCAGCTTTTCCGATTACGAAACCATTTTCAACAAATTTCCGTGCTTATAACTCCGGAACGGTAGGTCATAGAGCTTCAAGCTTAACGCTACTCTATTCCTTGGACTTTTTTAGTCGCGTCAGTTGATTTTTAGACCGAAAACGGCTTTCTTTTTGGTTTCAGGGGACTATAAATCGAACGATGTCATTTTCCGGTACGCTGTGCTTTGAAAAAAATCGAAAAAAAAATTTGAAGGCTTCCAAAGATACTTTGGGGCCCGGATTCTTGTTCTGGAGTTCCGAATTAGTAAAAATACCAAATATCCGGGGGTTACGTGGCGGAATAAGCGAATAAGAATGATATAACTGAATTCCGAAAAATTTTTGATGTCATAAAAAAAAGGCAAAAAAATGAAAGTCTTTATATCGGCTTGAAAATTGAGTTTTTAGCAAACTTGACACCGCTGAATCTATTTCGAGAATTAGTTGTAAGATATTTCTCCGATTTCCACCTGAAAAGCAGCTTTTCCGATTACGAAACCATTTTCAACAACTTTCCGGGCTTATAACTCCGGAACCGCAGTTCTTAGAGCTTCAAGCTTAATACCATTCTATTCCTTGGAGTTTTTTTGGTCGGCCAGTGGATTTTTAGACCGAAAACGGCTTTCTTTTTACTTTCAGGATACCATCAATTGAACGATGTAATTTTCCGGTAAGCTGTGCTTTGAAAAAATCGAAAAAAATTGGAAAGCTTTGTAAGGCAATTTGGGGTTCAGATTCTTCTTCCGGAGTTTTGAATTAGTAAAGAGTAGAATTTGGCGTAAAAAAATCGAGTTTTTAGCTAACGATGTCATTTTCCGGTACGCTGTGCTTTGAAAAAAATCTAAAAAAAAATTTCAAAGCTTCGTAGGGCATTTTGAGACCCGGATTCTTCTTCCGGAAATTCGAATTAGTAAAGAGACCAAATTTTCCGCGGTTGCGTGCCGGAATAAACGAATTAGAATGATATAATCGAATTGAGAAAAATTTCAAATGAAAGTATGAAAAATTTGGCGAAAAAATGTAAGTCTTTAGATCGACTTGAAAATCGAGTTCCTAGCAAACTTTACACCGTTAAATTTATTTCGAGAATAAGTTACAAGATATAATTCCGATTTCCACCTGAAAAGCGGTTTTTCCGATTACGAAACAATTATCAACAAGTTTCCGGGCTCATAACTCCGGGACGGGAGGTCATAGAGCTTCAAGCTTAATACCATTTTATTCCTTGGACTTTTTTGATTACGCTAGTTGATTTTTAGACAGAAAACTGCTTTCTTTTTGGTTTCAGGGGACCATAAGTAGAACGATGCCATTTTCCAATACTGTGCTTTGAAAAAAATAGAAAAAATTTTGAAGGCTTCATAAGGCATTTTGGGGCCCGGATTCTTGTTCCGGAGTTCCGAATTAGTAAAAATACCAAATTTCCGGGGGTTACGTGGCGGAATAAGCGAATAAGAATGATATAACTGAATTCCGAAAAATTTTTGATATCATAATTAAAAAAAAAAAGGCAAAAAAATAAAAGTCTTTATATCGGCTTGAAAATCGAGTTCTTAGCAAGCTTGACACCGCTGAATCTATTTCGAGAATTAGTTGTAAGATACTTCTCCGATTTCCACCCGAAAAGCAGCTTTTCCGATTACGAAACCATTTTCAACAACTTTCCGGGCTTATAACTCCGGAACCGCAGTTCTTAGAGCTTCAAGCTTAATACCATTCTATTCCTTGGAGTTTTTTTGGTCGGCCAGTGGATTTTTAGACCGAAAACGACTTTCTTTTTGCTTTCAATTGAACGATGTAATTTTCTGGTTTTGAAAAAATCGAAAAAAATTGGAAGGCAATTGGGGTCCGGATTATTCTTCCGGTGTTTTGAATTAGTAAAGAGACCAAACTTCCGGAGGTTGCGTGCCGGAATAAATGAATCAGAATGATATAACCGAATTCGGAAAAAAAAATGATTTTAGAAAAATTTGGCCTAAAAAAAATCGAGTTTTTAGCTAACGAGCATTTTTCTTTTGAAAAAAATCGAATAAAACTTTGAAGATTTGGGGACCAGATTCTTGTTTTGAAGGTTTCCCTAGTTTTTTACAAAAAAAAATGCTGCCTGGCCAAAACGCACTGTTTAAATTTTTTTTTTTGATATTCCAGCAGGTGTAAGTTTTTAAAATTCGTCGGTCGTTCAAAGTCAGCGTTCGAGTTTCGACGAAGCCCCGCGCTCCTGTGTTGCACGTCGCCGGCGCGCTGCCACCACCTCCGCCCCACCTTACCTTCGATCTGCTTCCCAGCGGCCGCGATGGCGGCGGCGTTCAGCGTCGCGTTGGTGATGAGCGAGCCGTACGTGGAGAGATCCGACGCGGACATGCCCGTCTGCAGGCCCGTGGTCAAAGTTCTGTCAACACCCGCGCCCTTCCCCAACAGGTTGGCCACGCACAGCGGCGCCGCCGCCGCCGGCTGCGACATCGCCGCCAGCGTGACCAAGTTCTGGACGCCGAGGGGCGCCAGCAGGTTCTCGGTGAGCAGCTGCTGCGGCAGCAGCGCCGACCCGCCGCTCATCGCCTGCAGCAGCTGCAGCGACGTCGCGTCGTTGGACAACACGGGGCTGTACTGCTGCGGCGGCGTCTGCAGCTGGGGGGCGGCGAGCGCGTTCCACACGTTGGCCTGCATCTGCTGCTGCCGCTTCAGCTCCTTCTCCTTCTGCGTGTCGGCGAACTTGACGACCAGCGGCGCCGAGCACCCCTCCATCGTCTGCGACTGATGGAGGGCCTTTATGGCACTAAGGGCGGACTGCTTGCTGGCGAAGGTCACGAACGCGCAGCCCTTGGAGTTGCCGGCGGTGTCGCGCAGAACCGTGCACTCCTCGATCGTGCCGTAGCCGCTGAAGAGGGTGCGGACGTCGTTCTCGCACAGTTTCTTGCTCAGCATTCCCACGAACAGCTTGCGCTCTACAACAAAATATTCTATTAACGAGAGGAAGACATTTTTAACCTATAAATAAATTTTATGATTTTATTATTAGGTACGTCGCTGCGGTTTACAAAAAACGGGAAATGACGAATCGATATTAAAAAAAAAAAAACTAAAAACTCATCAATCTTTTGACAGTATCAACACGATGTATACACCTACAACCACATGTACGCACATTTAAAAAAAAAAATGATTACAACGCTGTAACTCATCGTCAATTTTTGCATGATTTGTAGGCCAACAAAACCTTGTCTTTTTTTCGCAATTAGGGCGATTATCACGGGTCACATTTAAACCACCCCTGAAAAATCAACAAGATAGACGCTTTTCGACTTAAAAGCTTTCCTGTGGTAATTAGCGTCGCGAAAGCGGCCACAGAAAAAATACCAAGCGCGTATTTTTAGATAATCTTTGAGTCAATAGCTCGCCGGTCGGAACGAAGGACTGCCATTACGTCGCCATTTTTCTCGGCTGACACTTGAGTGACGGTATTTTTTACAAGTATTAAAAGTTCTGCCTAACTAACGTTACCGTAATGTGCATGCTTCCTGAACACTGTTCCATTTGCATTGTTTTCTATTTTTAAAATTACGGCCGATGCTAAGTGAGCGTCGCGACGCCGAGAGTTTCCTTCAACTTGGTAAAAGACACCTGTACGCCGTGCGCCAGCCAAAATTTCATTTTATATTAGCTTCTTTGTTTTTATTACTGCGGATGTTGGGGGCTGGGCAAATTTGGTATCGCTAGTAAGCAAACACATGCAGGCATAATATTACAACAAAAAACAACCAATTTTTCAAATTTTAATAGAAATTGAGTGGGGTTAGATCAGGTGGTGTAGCTGGCCACTATCCACTTCTACGAAATCCGCGTCATTTTTGCTAAAACGTGCCGCAAACAATGAAAACATTCCGTGCTTGTTTTTGCATTGCGTGTAATGTTATCTTCCATTTATTGGAATTAACATCCTCATTTTATCGGAGAAAGTTGTTGCGGCAGTTTCATTGACCAAGGTAAACAAGCAAAAAACTATTGATGGCTTTAGCTATAACATAACAGTTCTCGGCAAAAAACCTTATCTTTATACTTTCTTATCAAGTGAAAACGTCTACGTTTTATCAATTCTTTTACGCTACTTAGATTCAATATGGGTACAATTGCACGCAAATGTTTTGAGCCTATGGGCGGATCGTTTTTGCCTGCCCTCACCGAAGAAGGCGGTCCAAATCCTTCAAGGGCAGAATTTGTAGGTAGGCTCAAACTACAACGAAATTTACATTTTACTCTATAAAATTTTATTGACAATAACGGGACGGACAGTAGTTATATATACATTTGGTAAGAAATATTTATGGCTCACGCCAGTTCTCTCGAATTTGTCGGAGAAAATTTAGCAGGTAGCTGTTCCCATAAAATAATGGTTACTTTCCTTCGTGAGTAACGATGGTCCGGACAGGAATTATTTTGCTTTCTAACATCTTTCGACCAATTGTTCCGTATAAAAAATTTCATCACTTTTTCAAATAAAATACTTTTAAATGTTCATAATAAATAAATAAAAAAAAAACGATATTGTCGTTGAGTGACATGTAACTGGCATAATAATAAAAACGTGCCATTTTTGTTAACTGAAATTTTTTTCATAAATGTCGCAAAATTATTAAATTTGTCTAATCATCCCCACCAATAATGTGATGACGTCACTTCAAATTCATGCATAGTAAATGGGTTTTAAATTGTATACAGTAACATAGTCCAACACATGTAGTTTATGACTCCGTGTTGAATTTTTATCCGAAACGTCCAGATTTTTGGAAAAAAAATCAAAATTATAAAACAATATTTTGCAATTTAATTTCGAATTTGCAAAATCGAATACTTTGAAATCTTGCAGATGTTTTAAAGTCATGATAAACATGATACATTTTTTATTAAAATATATTTGCTTATCCCCTCTAAAAAATTTATGACGTCACCTCAAAATTTTGCAGAATAAATCCTACCTTAAATGTATAAAATATGATGAGTTTTTATACTTGTGATTTATCACTGCATTAATATTTTTTTAGATTTGGTTATACAGGGTGTCTCAAAAAAGTTAATGACTGAGTCAATTTGTTTTATCGAAGAAATCGAGAATAGCAAAACTGAATACTTTGAAATATTGTATATGTTTTAAAGTTTTTGTAAGCATGGTAACTTTTTCGAAAATTTGATTAATCAAATATGCGGCAAATCGAAAATCGGAAAAACTGAAATTCACTAATGCAAAAAACAGAAAATCGAAAAACACAAATCGTAAAAATCGAAAATCTAAAAATGGCTAATCAAAAAATCGAAAATTCAATGAATCAAATACCGAGGTCGATCGAAAAGTGGAAATTCACAAACCTCAAAAATCGAAAAATCGAAAATTGAAAAACGGAAAAACCAAAAAATCGAAAAGTCAAAAATTTGTAGTACTGAAAATTAAAAAAATCAAAAACAAAAATTAAAAAAAATCGGAAATTAAAATAATCAAAATATATAAAGTAGAAAAAATTGCAAAGCCTAAAGACTGAAACGAACAGAAAAATCGAAAAAGCAAAAAATTGGAAAAACAAAAATTCGAAAAATCTAAAATCGCAAAAGTGGAAAATCGAAAATCTGAATAAAGAAACTTGGAAATTCTGAAAATTGGAAAATCGAAAACCAAAAAAACCGGAAAGAAACAAAATTGAAGTCTAAAAGGTGAGAATGGAAAAATTGAAAAACCGAATATTCTAAAAATCGACAATGGACAAATTGAAAATCGCAAAATTTAAATTGAAAAATTGAACATAGAAAAATCGATGAATTGAAAAATCGAAAATTCGACTACTCAAATTTTCCAAAAATCGAAAAATCATAAAACCGAAATATTCAAAATTCTAATGGTCGAAAGTCTGAAAACTGAAAATCGAAAATTCTGAAAAGCGGAAAATGGAATATCGAAAAATTTAAAAGAAAGAAAATTGAAGTCTAAAAACCGAAGAATGGAAAAATTAAAAATCAAAAATTCGAAAAATCAAAACCGAAAAATTCAAAGGTTTAAAAAGAAAATCGAAAAATCAAAAATCTGCAAATTGAAACTCGAAAATTTGGAAAATCGAAAAGTAAAAAAATTGAAGTCTAAAAGCTGAAGAATGGAAAACTGAACAATCGCAAATTCGAATATCAAATATCGAAAAATCGAAAAGCCGAAAAATCGAAAATTTGATGAATCAGATATGCGAAAAACAGAAAATCTGAAAATACAAAACTGAAAAATCGAAAATCTAAAAATGGAAAAACCGAAAATCGAAAATTCAATGAATATAATACGTAGGTCGATCGAAAAACCGGAAATTCACAAATCTGAAAAATCGGAAATTTGCAAGATTGAAAAACCGAAAATTGAAAAATCAAAAAACCGAAAAATGGAACATTCAAAAATCGCAAAATAGGAAAACAGAAAATTCGAAAATTCATAATATTGAAAACTCTAAAAGTCGACAATTCAAAAATCGAAAAGTAAACAAATTTCAAAGCCTAAAAAGTGACGAACAGAAAAATCGAAAACTCGTAAAATCATAAAGTGGAAAATCGAAAACTGGAAATTGAAAATCGAAATATCGAGAATCGACAAATTAAAAAACCGAAAAATCGAAAAATTAACAAATCTGAAATCGAAAAATGAAAAAAAAAAGAAAATTCAAAAATCGAATAATCCGAAACTAAAATAATAGAAAAGTGGAAAAGTAAAAATTGCAAAGTCTAAAACTGACGAACAGAAAAATCAAAAAATTTAAAAAAATCGAAAAATATCTAAAAACTGAAAAATCGAAATGCTCAAATATCGAAAATTCGATTAATCAATATTCTAAAAACCGAAAAAACGGACACAAATCCACAAATCTGAAAAATCTAAAATCGAAATATCGAGACTCGAAAAATTAAAAAACCGAAAAATTGAAAAATCCCAAATCGAAAAATGAAAAACCAAAAATTCAAAAATCAGACAATCGGAAAGTAAAATAATCGAAAATGGAAAAATAAAACAAATCGCAGAACCATAAAAACTGAAACAAACAGAAAAATCGAAAAACCACAAAATCGGAAAAACGAAAATCGAAAAATCGTAAAATCAGAAAATGGAAAATCTAATACTCGAAAATTGAAAAATCGAAGGTCGAAAAATAAAAAAACCGAAAAATCGAAAAATTTCATGATTAATGGAAAATCGAAAAATCGAGAATAGAAGAATTAAAAAACCGGAAAATTGAAAAATCGGAAATCGAAGAATTAAAAACGTAAAATCGAAAATTCAAAAATCAAAAAAATCGGAAAGTAAAATATAATCGAAAAATGCAAAAAAGTTGCAGCAAAGTCTAAAAACTGACCAACAGAAAAATCAACAAATCGAAAAACGGAAAAACCGAAAACTCGAAAATTCAAAATACCGCAAATTTGAAAAATCAGAAAATGGGAAAGTAAAAAAATCGAAAAGTTGATAGAAAAATGGAAACTGAAAAATCTAATTCGATGAAAGTGTTGGTCGAAAAAACGAAAAATCGAAAATCGAAGTGATCTTTTTTTGAGACAGCCTGTATAAGTAAATCTAAAAAATATTACTGCAATGATAAATCACAGGTACTGACTCATCATATCAAATTTTGCCATGACGTCATGCATTTTTTGGCGAAGATAAGCAAATACATTTTGATCGTGGCTTTGAAAGTATTCTTCGACTTTCGTTCCATTTCAAAATTTACAGGTGTTACACCTCGACCCAAGAGAGACAGCAGTAAAGGATAACAAATGGAACGGATAAAATAAAGCGTCAACCATCATTGATAAAACTTTAAACCAAAATTATGAAATTTATAAACTGAACATTTTTTTTGTTTTTTGAAATGTAGTACACTTCAAAAAATGTCCGTGACTTGATTTAATGTGAATTTAACAACTATGGTTG